ACTGAGCCACCCAGGCGCCCCTATAGAACTTCTTTAAATCCAACTGTACTCACTGTCACCATACCACGGTTTTCTGGCTTATTAAATATTTAAAATCTAACTGATGGTGGCCTCTTTACAATTGGATTATGATGATTATAGTGTGCTTTTACAAAGAAATTCAGAATAAATATAGTCGAGTAATGCTTATTTAATGTAAGTAAACTGAAACCACCCTGAGCCTTTTTCTCCCCAAGTAGAAAAAAATTCATCAGTGAAGACTTAGAAATCTTGCCTATTTTGTTCAAGATGTTCTTTAACAAACAACAACAACAGCAACATGGAAAAATGTAAAACCTAAAAGTAGGGAGAACGGTATAAACTTCCATATATCTATGACTCAGAGTCCAAAGTGATCAATATTTTGTTATTCTTGCTTTTCCTCTCACCTCTCCCAGGAGTAGCTACACTGGCTGGTGGTCAGAACAGCCCTCTAGTTCTCACCTACTTGCTTTCCCCCATCTGCATGGGAGGGGCAGCTGTCTGTCAGACTAGCATCACTGCCTGCAGTCTAGGCCAGCACAATGGTCCAACCTAATGTGCTTTCCAAAAGTGGACATATTCTGAGTATAAATGAAGAGAAGGAGGAAAAGTAGCTGGGGGTAAGGGAAGGAACACATAGGTTCTGGAATGGAGGGAATGGAGGGAAAGCCAATATTGTATTAACGCCTCAAAAGAGGCTCAGGGCAAGAGATGATATTGTCTCTTAGCTCAATTATCCCAGATGCCTGAAAAGGTGAAGCCATATATTTCTAGGGCCACTCATACTTTTGGAACCTGATGAGATCTAATGGAGGCCTGCCAACTTGAGCGGCCTTGCCCTGGGAGATATTTTCAAATGATATGATGATGAACTAGACTAATTATTAGTGACTGAATGGAACTCTAGTAATGTGCCAGTATCTATTAACTGTTATGATCCTTTGTTATACAGGATGCATAAAAACAAAACAAAACAAAACAAAACAAAACAAAACAGGGGGTGACCTGTGGTATAATAGGATATATATTTGATCTTTGTCTCAGATTCCTGGCACTGAGCTCCTTAAAACCCTTAGGATTTCCTGAATTATAGGAGTGTCTTGTCATTTAAAGGAAGCCTTCTTGAGCAAAACTGAGTTTATATTAATGAGGTGACTTAGAATGGGGCCCCTTGATAACCTCAGGATGGTCACCAAAAAGACCAAATGATTGAAGGGTTAGAACTTGTAGCCTCACCCACCAGCCCCCAGGACAGGGTAACAGGTATTGTCAATTAAGCTCTATAAAAACTTGAACAAGATTTGCTGAGCTTCTGTGTTGATGAAAATGTCCACACACCAAGAGGCAGCAACATCCCAGTTCCTTGGGGACACAAGTTCCTGCACTCAGAACCTTCTGGACCTCATCCTAGGTACCTCTTTATCTGGCTGTTCATCTGTATCCTTTATAACATCCCCTTCACAATAAATGGATAAACCCAAGCAACCATTTCTGAGTTCTGTGAGCCACTCTGGCAAAGCAATCCAACCCAAGGAGGGAGTCGTGGGAAACTCCAATTCATGGCCAATCAAAGCACAGGTGGCAGCCTGAACTTGCAACTGGTGTCTGAATTGGGGGCAGTCTTGTGAGACTGAGCCCTTAACCTGTGGAACTTGATGCTCTCTCCAGGCAGACAGTGTCAGAACTGAGTTACATTTGTAGGACACTCAGTCAGTGTCCCCTGAGAACTGGAGAACTGCTTGACGGTGTTGGAAAACACGTATCGGAGAAGTAAAATCAGCTGACTGAGCAGCAGAATGTTATGTCTGAACGACGTCTATATGGCAGTTAGATTCTCAAGCTGGATGGAAGCCCATCTAACCTATAAGGTAGATGACATCTTCTACATTTTGAGTAGAAAACAACATTATTAAAACTATGAATTAATTTACCTCCCACTTTATTAATACAGGTGAGAAGAAGAAAGAGCTTACCAAAGCAACAGTAAACTTCTGACCAGCCTCTACCAAAATCACAGACATTCTTACTGTTTGGATTTAATCTACCAAAACAAAAGCTTCCAATTTCTCTCTCTCTCCCTCTCTCTCTCTTTGGCATTAAATTGTTAGAATCACTTAGTGATTCTCTATCCTACAAATCTGCCACAACATTTTCTAAAAATATTGCCTTTTTTTTAATAGACTCAGAAGTAGTAGTTCTCCAAATATAGCCCAGGGGTACCTAGGGTATTCCTTGCCCTTCAAGGGGGTCCGTAAGATCAAAACCATTTCCTTAACAATACAAGGATGTTATTTGCCCTTTTCATACCCAAATCTTTCACGGTGTACAATGGAATTTTCCAGATGCTACCTCACATATGATAATAACACCGCTCTAAATGACGTGTATGTGAAGTAGATGTGAGAATCCTGTTTTGTATTAAGCCAGACATCAGAGATGTATAAAAATATAAAACAATTCCACTCTTCGTACTGCACATTTTTGTTTAGAAGACAAAGTTACTTTTTAAGTTATTTATATTAGCATGTAATGAAATGTTTTATTATCTTTAAAGAATTCATAAATAGTACATTTCTTTTTAGTGTTAATCTTGAATAGTTAGACTGACAGACACAACCCCCCATATACAGGCTCCTTGGGGTACTCCATAAGTTTTAAGAGTGTCAAGGATTCCTAAAGTCAAAATGTTTGAGAACTGTTCTTCAAGAAAAATTCCTTTCTTCCCCGTCTAAACTGACCTTTTCTTGGGTAATGGGAGAAAAGATTCTTTTCCAATCTTTTTTTTTTTTTTTCAAGTTTATTTTTATTTATTTTGAGACAGTGAGATAGAGAGCGAGCAGAGGAGGGGCAGAGAGAGAGGGAGACAGAATCCCAAGCAGGCTCCATACGGTCAGCATACAGCCTGATGAGGGCCTCGAACCTACAAACTGCGAGATCATGACCTGAGCCGAGACCACGAGTCGGACGCTTAACCACCTGACCACCCAGGCGCCCGTCTTTCACCAGTCTTTTTGCAAATGTCACTGGATATAAAATCAATCTCCTCCCTGACATTCCTCTACATGGTAGGCATTCTCTGATTCTGAGTAGGAAACAGACAACGATTCGTGGGCACTCACGTGAAGCACTCACCTTCACCAATTCTGTGTAGCCCGTTTCTTTTGGGGTCCACCATGGCTGGGCTTTCAGTCCATGCACGTTGTAGAGGGAGCGCTGCCACACAGATGCAAAATGCCCCCTCTTGTGCCCAAGCTCGTACCACTTATAGGCCTGAAAGGACAAAGAGACTGAACTACAAATGGAGCATTTTTATTAATTTAAAACTACAGTGTCATTTTTTTAAAAAAATTTTTATCGTTTTTCATTTATTTTTGAGACAGAGAGAGACAGAGCATGAACAGGGGATGGTCAGAGAGAGGAAGACACAGAATCGGAAACAGGCTCCGGGCTCTGAGCTGTCAGCCTAGAGCCCGACGTGGGGCTCGAAGTCACAGACCGCGAGATCGAGACCTGAGCTGAAGTCGGACGCTTAACCGACTGAGCCACCCAGGCGCCCCTGAAGTGTCATTTTTGTAACATTTAAATAAACAGCTGCTAGTCAGGTGCCCAAATCTGTTAACACTGCCGAGAATACGATCATTTGATTGGGTTTCTGTTCATGACCCACGATGACAAATGCATGTATGCATTTTAGTTTTACTCTGAGGCTGTACGCTCTTGCAACGCAGGGTTCATGCTGCGATAACTGTGGTCTTCCTTGGAGTGTCCAGCACAGAGTCTAGGACATATTTGTCAAGCGGATAAATAACATAAGAAACCACAGCGGATTGTATCTTTTGGCTTTCATTTCTCAAGTTCTAAGTTTCCCTTAAAAGGAAAGGGCTAGGGCTAGGGCTAGGATTTTAATAATTTCTTCAAAGACGTTTGCATTTACTGAATCGGATTGCTAAAAAGAAATGTTACGTCTTTTCCCATGCACTTTCTTTCCAAGTCCCCATTCCAGAAGCCGGCCCCGAGGTGGCGGAGCACAAACCCTCCATTAAACTAAGCAGACAGAAAGGAAATATCATTCTGAGCTGGCCATAAATATGGCGGTAGCCCACACTGGACTTTTTTAAGGGGGAAGTTTTGTTCCTTTTTTGGGTTTTCTGCCGCCATGAGGAATAACATTTGTGGCTTTCATCTAGTTGTAACATGAGGCAACTTGCCTCCAAGAAGACTAGCCTTTTCAGGGACAGCTGGCTGCAGGGTATGCTGCTCCATATGTCTCCTTCGAGTGACACCCTCACCATATGCTCCCCAGGGGCCCTCCCCACAGGACTGCTGCACCGCGCAGTCTCCACTGTCTTCGGGGTGGAAGGCCCCCCGAGGGCTGTACTTACTAGTACTGCCTTCGTGACTGCAAGTCTGCACTAATGGTTGCTTTGGAAGAGGGCATTCGAATACAAATTCTGATCACTTAAACAGAGGCATTTAATATCAGGTGGATGAAGAAGCTATGCAAAGAGAGTATCTTCATAAAACTCCAGATAGACTTAATTAAAAAATATTTTTAAGCTTTATTGTTTTTAATTCCTTTTGGAGAGCAAGAGAGAGAGAGAGTGCATGGGAGGGGTAGAGAAAGGGGGAGAGAGTTCCAAGCAGGCTCCACGCTGTCAATGTGGAGCCCGATGTGGGGCTTGAACTGAGATCATGACCTAAGACGAGATCAAGAGTCGGACGCTCAACCGACTGAGCCATCCAGGCGCTCCAACTCCAGATATACTTTAATGTAAAGAATAGTACCTTTTAAAGGTCTTAAAATTCTTAGGTCAAAATTTCCTTCACTAGAAAAATCAACCGTGATAACAGTACCATGTCATATGTTCAGTAACACTTTTCAGGTTATTGCTCACTTTTACATGTGTAATTGCATTTGATCTCTTTAATAACCTCAAATATCTCCATTTTACAAATGTTGAAGCTAGTATTGAAAAAGGCTAAATATGTTGGGGCACCCGGGTGGCTCCGGTGGTGATCCCAGGGTTGTGGGACTGAGCCCTGTATCGGGCTCTGCACTGAGGGTAGAGCCTGCTTAAGACTCTCTCTCTCTCTCTCTCTCTCTCTCTCTCTCTTTCTGCCCATCCCCCACTTGCACGCATGCTCTCTCTCTCTAAAATACAAAAAGGAATTAAAAGAAATTTTTAAGAAATCAGTAAGTATTTTGAAGTATAACCCAAGGCTCTAGCAACTTCATCCATTCTCCTTCTATCTTCCTATCATTAAAAAAGAAAAAAAAAACTATCAGAAGTGATATTCTTATTTATCTTTCTCCATAAAAGCTCGTTAAGAATATATATACTCATCATTCTTATATGTCTTCCTTGAAATACATATTAACTTGTAGTCATAAAGTAGTTTCTTTAAAAGCCCGAAACTTAAAGTGGCTAGTCATTGCGTGAATTTTGTTTTTGAATTTTGAGTGGAATTTTGAATTTTGCGTTTTACTTTTGAAATCAGTTTGACTATTTTAGTTATTTCTGTCCAATTTAAATTTAGGATCTCATTTCCTATACCGTTCAGTGTTAAAAGTGAACAACAGTATGAATTACCACAGTTGATTTTTTTTTTGAAATGCTTATTTTTGAATCAGGTAGTAATTCATTTTATGGGCCAGGCACAATGTTAGAAAGGAGAAAAAAAAAATCTTCTAGAGAAACCAAAACAGCAAAGCTCATAGCTCTAGTTCAGGAGTTAAAAGTCACAACGTAGTCCCAGACCTAACATTCACCCTGCCGGATGCCTGGGCAAGTCGCTTCACCCACAGTGTCAGGTTACCGCTATCGCCAAGGTTTCTTCTCACACTCAAAGCCAGTCCTACTGGACCCTTTTTTTGTACCCCTCTGCTACTTAACTTTTCAAGAAACAAAACTGTGACAGTGATGCGTCAGGAATTTTAAAAAATCATCTTCAATGAAGGTAAAATAATCTTCAATTATGTAGAGGACCCAATTAATTCAGTCAGGCTGCTTTCTTACAATACAAATTGCTAGAAAATCAATGATCAAGTTACAATCCTCTGAAAATTCTCTCTTTACTCTTTCCCTTTTATACCTCTAATCGAGGATATGAAAATAAACAGATCACCTGTGGATACCTTCTTACATGTGTTTTATATTAATGTCTCCTATACTTCAAATTCTTGCCAGGTATGGTTTACACACACACACACACACACACACACACACACACACACACTCCCACAACACAGAAACAGTATATCAAAAGATCCCCACTCTGAAAAGCCCAGGCCCCGTCTGGGGCACAGGCCTGTCAGATGTGACCCCAGCTGGAGCCTGTGCCCCTGGAGCTCTGTGCACAGTGGGACACATGAGCCACACTTGTGGTGAGGACGGCTGGCTGCGGCTGGACCGTGAAGAACTACGAATGCCATCACTTGGACATATGACTTTATTTGTAATTTTGCACTGTACGGTTTTTGAGCACACGATGTCCTGGAAGAAAGTACGACAAAAGCAATAAACAACAGCCAGGCTTGTCCAGCCCTCTCCGAGGCTGACAACACTGACCGAGCAAGCGGGAAGGTGAGATGGGTGCCAGAGGCTGGGGAAGTGAACTTCCCCAAACGTGGCCCCAACTGCACAGGAGAGAAGTTGGCAGTATCATCAAATGAGAGATGGAGCCCAGGAAGAAAAACGGTTTAGAAGAAGACACGTGAGCCGTCTCTGTGACCTTGCATGGTGACACCACACAGGCAGCAGACACAGGAATCCTGACTTTGAGTAGGAGACCAGCTAAAATGTGGATTTGTGCAGTAACGGAAATACTGAGAACAGCTGCAGGTGAGCTGCTCTAAGACGATCATGGTTTAGGGGTGCCTGGGTGGCTCAGCTGGTTAAGTGTCCAACCCCTGATTTTGGCTCAGGTCATGATCTCATAGTCTGTGAGTTAGAAACAACCCTGTTAGAAAAACCTTCTTCAGAAACAATTTTATTGTCAGCCTCTGCAGCACAGAAGCTGTGAGTTTGCTCCTCTTTTGGTGCCTGAGCAGAGCCCCATGCATTGGAACATGAAGCATGGTTGCTTCCCAATTTGTAAACTCAGGGCATGACAGTCAATTCACAATACCTGATATCGAGAATATACTAACGCGGGTTTCCTATAGGCTTATTTTTGTTCTCCTGTAAGGATGAATCCCAGTGAATTTTTTAAATTCAAGAACTGTGGTGTTCTTTGCATCTTGATGGTAATTAAGCTGATAGAACAGTCCCATAGGTTCAAATCCCAAGCCCTTGACAAATGTTTAGTAGTGAATTCTTTGCCCTTGAAGTAAGGGCTGTTTTCATCTAAGATGAGAGAAAAAAAAAATCACAGACTTCTCTTATCTGTCTTTGCCCTGGACCCTAAGAAGTTCAAAGATAAATTAATTAGTGACAATTACATTTATAGCAATCAGACGTGAACATTTATCCAGTGTTAGATATTATAGCAAAATCTTTTTTATCCTTCTCATTCAAAAGAGGAACCAGGGATTTATATCTAAAACAAGGAACACAAAAACGAGAACTGATCAGCGAGTTATTTTCCTTTCTTCACGTCTAATGTCTCATTTTATTCCAGTTGACTGACTGGTAGGTTAGAGGAGAAAGGGACAGATGCATAGAAATGTATAAAGCAAACTGACAATCATCCAAATCTCTCTTACCGCAAATCTGTTCATGTCTCTAGCTGGCAATTACCCCATCACAAAACCCCCTGCTCTTATGAACCCTCAAGTGTCAAGATGCTTCCACGTTCTTATTAATTTTAGAAACCTGAAGCTCTGTTATCTTTTTTTATCCTTTAAGCCGACTGCATTTTACTACGTATATGGAATGCACTGGTTACAACGATTCAGTGTCTCGCTTCGCCCTTTTGCCCCTGACTGTAAGGAGAGCCCACTCTAGAGCCTTGTGATGATGTAAGACGGAAAAGGTAGGCTTCACTCTCCACCAACAGCCTGTAAATCATGGTGATTGTTGACAATTTGGTAACTTCAGTATATGATGTCATGATTAATAATCTAAAGTTATGTTTAAAGAAGCTGACACGGTACTCAGAAAAAAGCAGTAATCACAAAGAAAACACGTAATTTGGTTTAGCTACTACATTTTGTGTATCAGTACCTGTCATTACTCTAGCTATAGGTATTCATCTCAAACTTGGCATTAAATACCAGAAGGTAATTTACATAATTAACCACTGAGTTCAGTTGCTTAGGGATCAGTTGAATAAAGACTTCATTCTAAAAATAACTACTTTTTAAATACCCCAAATAAAATAAAAACAAATCTAGACATATTGTTAAAAGATATTTAAGCAATTTCAGACATCTCTTCATTTCATAATTTTAAAAATATTTTTTCAGGACAATGCTTATGCTTTATGCACACAGACACACACATGTGCACACACACACACATACACACATATACACGTACTAAATGAGAGGCTGGTCTCATGATTACTCAGCTAGTTTCTTAAAAGAAACTATAAGAGTCAAAAATCCCCAAAATTCTTTCTAGGCTTGCAGGAGTTGTTGGGTTGCTTTTTAAGAAAAGTTTAAATAGCTAAATAGTTTTGGCGTGCCTGGGTGGCTCAGTCAGTTAAGCATCCGACTCTTGACTTTGGCTCAGGTCACGATCTTGCAGTTTGTGAGTTCAAGCCCTGAGGCGAGCTCTGCACTGACAGTGTGGAGCCTGCTTCAGGTTCTGTCTCCTCTCTCCCTGCCCCGCCCACACTCATGCTCAGGCGCGCGCGCGCTCTCTCTCTCTCTCTCTCTCTGTCTCTCTCTCTCAAAGATAAATAAACTTAAAAAAATAGCTAAATTGTTTCAATCACCACCTTCAAAAGTCTACGCTCTAAATATGTTTTCAGTTGTTAATTTCTCCTAGAATTACCCTCCCCGCCCCACCTAGTCTACCCTCTGTTAAGAGAACAAAAACTTCACAAACTCATTACCTCTTTGTCCCCAACCCTCTGCATGGCATCCCCCAGGTGGAAGTAAAACCTGCCATCGTCAGTGCCGGGGTCCCCAGATTCTATTCCTTCCTATAAAAAGGACAGTGTTAGCATTTAATGAAAAAATTAAATACCAGCTTTTAGTTCATTGATTTACTTAATCTTTATATACCATATAAAAACCTAAGGAGCAGAAAAATTCACCTCAATATTAAAGTTTGGCAATTAGGTTACTGGTCAACATTTACAGTGCAAACCCAAAAAGAGGTCATAAAGCTTAATTTAACAATACATTTGCCATAAATTAACAATCTCCTAGCCCATAAAATTAATATATGAATCATCTCTGTGGAAACTATCATATTTCAATATCCCAAAGAATTTCTTGACTGGGTATCTATCCCATTTATTTTGCTCTCCAAATCTGACCATATGTCATCTGGAGGCTTCTTATTCCTAAACCAAAATGTTTAGTTGCTCATAAAATGTTTGAAGTGATAGAGACCTAAATGCAAATAGTGTTTCATTCTACTCAAAACAAATGCGTCCTCACCTTTTAATGAAATCTTTTACAAAACTTACAGTTAGGATTAAAGCCAGCTGGAATCTTCGAAAATGTAGCTGTTATTAAACAAATCCTGTGCTAAAACATTTAGCTGATTTCTGCCCTGTCTCCCGCATAAGGACTGAATTGAGATGTGTATACACAACAATAACAATAACAAAAAAAAGAGAGTGAGAGAAAAAACATTAAAATAGAGTAAACTTAGAAAAGCAAAAGAAGGACAGAAGTAAAAAAATATTTAAATATCAAGAAATTTTTTCTAAAAATCTGCATTTTCAGGTCTCTTCATGAGAAACCCATTATCTTCACTAGGAAGAAATTTTATTTGCATAATGTTGGAAGGTAGCAGCGAGGAACAGAAGAATCACTCAGGAGAGGAGGAGAGATGTGATCGGGGCTCTTGACTGGCAGGTTAACTAACAGACCCCACGCTCTGTTTCCCCATCTCTGAAGCAAGGAGGGTACTAATAGCCCCTTATTATGTCAAAGGAAATGTAAGGGGAACACTTTCAATCAGAGAAACCCACATGCCCAGAGGGTCCTGGCAGAGAATGTAAAGGTTTGCAGAGGCCTGGTGACGGCCAAGGGAGACTGGGGGGTGGCGGGCCACCTCAAGGGGACAACATTGCTCTTCTCCAATGCTGGGATGTGGGCCAGATGTGATCTTTCAAGAGAAATCAGAAATGTGCATGATTATATAAAACGCTCAGATTCTTAACTAAAGCAAGCAATTTAAAATTGTTTTTAATAGAACTGTGCTGGCCAAATAAAATATGCAAGTTATTTGCAATCAGTGGATTGCTATTTGAGAGCTCTGATTTAAGTCATGTGAAAAAGAGAGATCATGGAAGTGTGATATATACTGCTACTTAAAAAAAAAAAGTTCATAGGTATTCCACCAGCTACCTGTCTAATATGGTAGCTGCTAGCTACATGTTACTATTTAAATTAAAATGAAAGTTAAAAATTCAGTTCCTCAGTCACATCAGCCACATTTCAGTTGCCCAATAGCCACATGCGGCTAATGACTACCATACTGGAACATACAAACAAAGAACATTCCCACTGTGACAGAAAGTCCTACTGAATAGCCCTTAGCTAGACCAAATGTGATTCTGGTGCATCTGCAAGGATTCAATTAGATATACAAGGAAAAAAAAAATGACAGCATATTTTAATCTGAGTATTAAACCTGAGCTCAGGTATTAAACCTGAGCTATCAGGTTTTTTAGGGTTTGACCTATTCAGGTGCCATTTGTTACCATACTTTATGTAGGTTGCCATGAGCCCTTGTTCAACCTAGACTGAACGTATAATTGAATTGTAAAAGGAACATTTAATGCATTGCCCATATTCCAAAGTATTACATTAGTAATTTTGATCTACCTTTCCCATTTAAATAAAAACTAGTAACTACAGTTTTAGGAATTTCTTCATAACGTCTTTTCCAAATAATCTCTGCTCGTATGGTTGGCATTTCTACATCCAACACTCTCAATCACTGCCCATGAATGTCATGGTCAGAGGGTGTACATTCTGAAGATGAAAGTACTCCGCGGTGCATGCCAATTAGTTGACAATGCATAATCAAGGGAATCCAAATGACTCAAAGGAATCAGAAGATGAAAAAAAGACGAAAGGCAGGGATAGTTACCTTTAAGTAGGGAATGCTCTCAGCAATTTTGTTCTGCGCCTTCAGGATAAAGCCATAATGCACTTTAGCAAAGCCATCATTAGGCGTCACATTCAGAACCTAAACTCAAAGAAAATGGAAAGCTATTGTGACTGATACACATTCTACAAATGACTGTCAAAAGAAATTTTAATTAGCTTTGCTGTGCTTGGGTCCACATTATGATGTTACAGCTTAAAACACTACAGTGTTTTGTCTCATTGCGATATTCGGCTTCAATACCCCCATTTCTTGTCAACTCAAGAAGTTTGTACATCTATCCATCAATTCTTAATGAATGAAGAAATCTGGGTGCCTGGGTGGCTCAGTTGATTAAAAGTCCAACTTTGGTTCAGGTCATGATCTCACAGTTCATGGGTTTGAGCCCCGCATCAGGCTCTGTGCTGACAGTTCTGTGTGCTTCAGATTCTGTGTCTCCCTCTCTCTCTCTCTGCCCCTCTCCCTCTCGCACTCTGTCTCTCTCTCAAAAATAAACATTAAAAAAATTTTTTTAAAGGAATGAAGACTACAATGAAAAGGCAATGACCATTAAAGCATCAATTGAACAATGCAAATCAGCAAAGTCTGTGTCAACTGATATGACCTGGATATTTTTTTTAGGGATCAGGGAAAAACTGCTTTAAATTTGCTGTATTTAAAGTCAACTCTGAGTGGTTATTATACCTTTCGTTATGTACGTGCTTTACACATTGCCTTAAATAAGAGACAATTTAGATTTTTACAATCTAAATTTCACAATCCATTTATTTAACACAAATTTCTTGAATGCCCAGACCGTTTTAAGGACTGAGGACAGGGGCGCCTGGATGGCTCAGTCGGTTGGGCGGCCGACGTCGGCTCAGGTCATGATCTCGCGGTCCGTGAGTTTAAGCCCCGTGTCAGGCACTGTGTTGACAGCTCAGAGCCTGGAGCCTGTTTTGGATTCTGTGTCTCCCTCTCTCTCTGACCCTCCCCCGTTCATGCTCTGTCTCTCTCTGTCTCAAAAATAAATAAACATTAAAAAAAAAAATTAAAAAAAAAAAGGACTGAGGACAAAGTGACAAGCAAATCCAATATTCTGTGATAAAACCCAAGTAAATATTTAATATACATCGAATCCCTATTATCATATGCATTTATTATGATTAAAGATAAATTATGCAGCATGCCTCCAAGTTAACTATTAGCAGGGAGAAAGCAAGACAACAACATTCCCCTTTGAAGCTGCCCAGACAAACTAATTCATGGAACAAAAGCGAAAGCCGACGGTTTGAGTTGAGTGCGCGTAAGACGAATGTCCTGAATATCCCGTAGCTTCTCTTCATCCTTCAGCCTGAGTGGGGAAAGGGAGTAGCAGCCAGCCTGGGCTCTGTACCCAGGACCAAGTGAGTAAGGGAGAGGGGACGCCCTGCCCTTCAAGAGTCCACAGTGCATACTGCTGATACTTTATAAATTTTCGGTTCCCGTCTGGTCCTGCACCTCCTCCACGCACAAATCCAGTCAGCACCACCTTCCCCATATATTCAGAATCATGCCCCCGCCACTTCCTTCATCACTGCCACCCTGCTCTACGCCTTGTCACCTCTCCCCTGTGTTCTCACACAAGACTCCTAACTGCTGACCTTCTGCACCACCAGCCTGCTCTCCTATAGCCCGTTCTCCACAGGGGCCCTGAAGGAGCTCACTAAATCCTATGTCAGACCTCATTCTTTTTCTGTTCAGAACCCAGATGGGTTCCATGCCACTCAGAGTAAAAGACTAAGTTCTAGGGAATGGTCTCCTGGGCCTCCCTTGAGCTGGGCCTCTCTACCGCTCTGCTTCCTCTCCTAAGCCCCTCCCACCAGCCAAACTAAGGCACCTTGGACTCCTTGCTGCTGCACAGCAAGCCAAAGGCACCCCTGCCTCAGGACCTTTGCATGTGCAGCACTTCTTTGCCTCAAAAAGTCTTCTCCCAAACATGGAAATGGCTCACTCTTCACCTTGATGAAATCTGTGCTCCGAGGTCACCATCTTGGTGAAGCCAACCCCCAACCACCCCATATAAAACAGAACCAACCTCCCATTTACTAGTCACTCTCTTGACTTTTATTACGCTGATTCTTTTCTTTACAGTGCTCGTCACCATTTGACTTATTATTCTTTTATTCTTCCCGCTAAGGCCTCAGCTGTACAGGGATTTTGTCTGCTGCACTCACTGCTGATCCCCGGGGCTTACAACGGTGCCCAGCAAATGGCAGGTCATCAAGAAAGCTGTGCTAACTGAATGGATGAGTGAGTGCCAGGCTTTCCTCCTAACCAGATTTCTGAAAGCACAGACTCTGTTTCTTCTTCACCTTCCAAGCACCTGCTACCGAGCAAGAGTACAATAAACGTTGCTGGAACTTAACTGAGTTGAGGCCACTCATGTTTCTGCCAGCATAAGGGGACTGTTATATGAGGGGACTATTATAACGATTGCAACCACACAGATGACATTTCTATCTATTCAGACCCACAGTCATCCTCTCAGGTAATTAACAAATGTATTCATTTGCCAGATATTTTAGAATATACAGAGTTCTTCTGGGCTCTGGACACATAAGCATAAATGAGATACACTCTTCTCTCAAGGGAAGTCTCAGTCAAGGGAGGAAGACAGATTCACAAGCAGACAGTGATAATCGACATGGTGATAGACACGAGGCATGCAGGGGGGTAAAGAGGAGGAGTACCTTGCTCGCTCTAGGATTGGTGTGGCAAAAGCAAGGTCTGAAAGGTGCTCAGGCATTCACCAGGCAAAGGGAAGACGGCGGATGGTGGGGGAGGAGGCACTCAAGGCATAGGAGAAAGTGAGTGGAAAAGAATAATGGACCAGGAATGGCAAAAGGGAATGAGACTGGAAAAAAGGGGACAGAAGGCAAATCACAAAAGGTCCTGTCCCTATTGTAGTTTACATGTAGATGGAGAATGAACGTGTGGCTTATATTATCTAATGGCAATCAACAAAGCCTCATGATATGACAAGTGGCTTTATAAAGTTCCTGAGAAAATAAAATTGAGATTAATATTAATAATACTATATAGATTCTGTCTCTTTTTCTTTATACACACACACAACAGAGATAGTGACAAAAAACAAGTATAGTTGATATTTCTGCTTCCAGTATAAACTCTGCATGGCACAGTGCCAAGAAAAAAAAAACAAAAAACCCAAATCCTATAATTACAAATAGTATTGCATATACATATCATTAAAATATCAATTTGTTCTTTAGCACACAATCCAGTGATTTCACTACTGGGTACTACTGGGTATTTAACCCAAAGAAAACAAAAACACTAATTCAAAAAGATATAGGCACTCCTATGTTGATTGCAGCATTATTTACAATAGTCAAACTATGAAAGCAGCCCAGGTATCCATCGATAGAAGAATGGATAAAGAAGATGTGGTATATATACACAATGGAACATTACTCAGCCATAAAAAAGAATGAGAAAGAATGAGATCTTGTCATTTGTGACAACACGGTTGGACCTAGAGGGTATAAGGCTGAGTGAAATTAGTCAGATAAAAGACAAATACCGTATGATTTCACTTCTCTGTTGAGTCTGAAAAACAAAACAAACAAAAAAAGCAGAGACGCACCTGGGTGGCTCAGTTGCTTAAGTGACCAACTTCTGCTCAGGTCATGATCTCGCGGTTTGTGAGTTTGAGCCCCGCGTCAGGCTCTGCGCTGATGGTGCGGAGCCTACTTGGGATTCTCTCTCTCTCTGCCCTCCCCAACTCTCTTTCTCTCTCGCTCTCAAAAATAAATAAATAAAATTCA